GAAAGTTGCCTGTACATGATTATATATAATCATATATGTCCACAACGAAAAATATTGTTGTTTACAAATTATGTACAAATACAAATCGAAGTAAATGCTTCTGGCTACTTGTGTTTCTGGCAGCATATGATATCGACAATTAATTAAATGACATAATATAATTTTTTTCGTATAGACATATATGATCATATATGTAACCACATATGTGGGCTGAATTCATGTATGATTTTATATAATTATATATAATTATATATAATCATTTCTTCCGGAAAAGTATGTGTTATTTTAACACTTATACAAGTTGAATATATATATTTGGTTCAATTGTTAGCCTTAATTGTTACGAATTTAAGTAAACTCTCTAATAATGCTGATTTATCTCAAGCCACAAGATATTTGTAATTAAATATAATTTTATTTTACACAGATTTTATGTTTGCCAACTATTTTTTGCGAGCTTTATAAATAATATCTCTTAAAAAATTACATTTTGGCTTGCGACGGATTTCTCTCGGAAATATATGTATATTTTATGTCATTTTACAGGCTCGAAGATATCAACATTTCAACAATGTCGCCTGAAATTCAAATGCGAGCTCTATAATATAATCGCAATGGCAACCGCAAAATAACGGAAATGTTCTGTATACCGAGGAAACTTCAATAAATTCATGTTATTAATTTTGCCCAAAATATGTGAATATTAAAATTACATTACAAATTATGCGCAGATATAATGAATTACGCGATAAATTATATTTCATTTTATATATGTCCAAATGATGGAAATAATAGTGACCTTTCATTGAGACTTCTCATTAAGAAAAAATCGACTTTACTTCTTTAAGAACTTGAAGGCAAAATCGAAGATTCGGCAACGCTTTGTATATGTTTCTGCCAGTCCATCACACACATTATATATACACATTTATTCCTATATATACATATTTATCCATATATATACATATTTATCCAACAGAAAAATTAAATCATACTTTTTAATAACGTGTCAGCATGTTTCTTTCATGAAATGCTAAAAAAACGGTTAAAAACAAATGCGGTTAGACGAGAACGCGGACGAAATGAATCACGCTTCATTACTCTCCAACAACGTTGTTTATACGATGTCTCTTTTTCTTTGAGCTCTTTGCTTTCAATTCTTTTTTATCCTACGCCAGCATCACTTCTAGTTAGTATTAAAAAAAGATTTATTTCCAGCTGAAATTATTTCTCGACGTCTACTATTACGCAAAAGTAATACGTCCGTATTTTTATTTCGTAGCTGGTATCTATATTCATTTGTGCTGATGTAGCCACAGTGTTAAAAATTCCGTCTCATAAACGTTGTAGTCCGTGCTGGATACACCTTCGTGATGAATAAACTATGCAAAAAGCCGAAGAATTTGTGGTTGGAGAAATGAGCAGTGATAAGCGTCTTAAGAGACATGTAAGGTGCAACGCGCGAATCATTCAATGTTTTGTGATTTTTCTATAAGTGATTTAAACAGTTTAAATTTATATAGTTTTGTAATTTTATATCTCATTCTTATTTATAATGTCTCTAGAAATATTTATCTGCATGAAGTATAATTAACAAATCTTCGGGAAATACGCACTGGTAAAACTAAAGATAACATTTTTCAAACGTTCCGAAATATAAACGATACACAGCCGTAATCATCTGTTTAACCTTCATGTATAGCTATGTCGTATTTCCTCGTCTGTATAATAGAGGACATGCTGGTTCGTAACCGGTTCTTTTCATACGATGGTAATGAAGTTTGCATAATGGTGAGAACACAGAGATTATAAATAGAAGACGCGCGTGAGAGAATTGGTTGTAAATGTTTACTTCTCGGAACGGACGTAAGTTGGAATTTAAGAAAAACAGAGGATTAAGTGCGGTAAGTCCTCAATAAATTGAAAATTTGAAAGGAGAATAATAAAGAAAAATGTGGAAAATTTGTAGTTACATTTTGAAAAATTGACGAGTGTGCAAGGCAACAAGAAATGACAAGCATTAGAGGAACTAACAAACTAAGAAATTAAGCAAAACAAATTGAAACTAGTAAAATTGAATTAGTAAAACAAATTGAAAAATAGAAATATATAATAAAAAAAGTTACAAGAATTACAAAAATCGAATAGAATTAATTTATACAAAAATGGGAAGGGTGACACGAAAAGATAAAAGAATAAATTGTATTTAATATATTTTCTAACGTTTATAGGCATTTTATGAGAAGTATATTTAAATTTTTGTACGCCACAATGAAAACACATTTTAATGTTTCTTTAATAATTGTGCTAATGATCTGATATTTTTCATCAGTTTTATGAAACTTTCCGCTTTTAACGCAATTATCCCGCTTTCTTCTATAGATACATATATACATACATACATAATTGTATATAATGTCTTCGTCATTAGAATAAAAACAATGTAGGCTGTTCTACGACTTGTTTTCCTAGTTTTTATACCATCATACATAAAAGAATATCTTACGTAATCATGCAAATCATTAGAATTCAGTATAAATAAGATGTGCGCAGGAGAGAAATCACAATGCGTGCTTATTGGTTGAGAAGGTAAAGTGTGCCAGAAAAAATTAATCTGACGTTAAATTCTTAAGTGGACTTTATAAATTAATCTATATATGAGGTGGGAAAATAAGTTGTGGAAATTATATTTATAGAAAAATTCGAAAAGTCGAAAAGAAAAAAATGTATAGAAAAAATATCGAAAGAATAGAAAAGTTTAAAAAAAAATAAAAAATTAAAAGTTTGGCTTTCTAACTTTGATTTTCCGAATTTTAGGTAGTGAAAAATATTAAACGTTTTATAACAAGTACAATGAGAGCATTCAAGTTTCTTCATGTTCTTTTAATAATTGTGATAATAACGATAAGCGTGATACCACTGGGGACATCAAAAGTGATTAGCCCGGTTCATGAAACACCCGAAAAACTTGGTGAGACGCAAATAACAACACAAACTGCGCCGGTTTATCCTTATATCATAAACACTCCTGAAAGAATTGTGATTTGCGCTGATGGATATAAGAGAGATCCGCAGGGAATATGTCGCGAGAGGGTATAATATCGAGAAAAGCAGGTAATTATCAATTAGAAAAAGAGGGAGATATTTGCTAATATTAATTATAACAAATAGAATTGTGTATGAAAATTATTCAGAATCCGCATTCTATGTACTCTTATACGGCAGTTATTTTTATATTCGTTCTCAAGTGGAACGGATCAATTCCAACGATTTTGACATATTCCACAATACTGAAATTGCGAAAAAAAGTAGCAGAGATAATGGGGTAATTCGAGAAATATAAAATATAACATACGGGGCACCGTACAAAATTGAATAAATTTTATAATTATATTGATATTTATACGTGTGTGCGATTTTTCCGTGTTTGTTTGTTTCTATGATAATGTAACTATGTTTTTATGATGATGTAACCTATGATATAATATATAAATTATTGACATAATGTTTATGGTGATAAACAATAGAACAACGATGTATATAATACTTAGAACTGTACGAAAAATCATCTGATTAAGATCTCGACAAATTCAGTTCATATAATTGTTACGTGCGATGGGAGTTAGTAAATAATTATTTACTAAATTGATACAACGCAATTTCTTAAAACTCAAGTTGAAAAACTCTAGCCACGTTTTTCACATAGCGATATTTTACAAGAAATTACTTAAAATCAAGAACTTACTAAAAGAGAAATGATATTTTAGTTTGACCTTTTTATGTTTTAGATGTTGAAAAATAATCAAATCCTCATACAGTACAATGACACTCGTCTGTTTTTAATGATCATCTTAATTACCGTCAATGTGATAACAATGGGGACATCGAAAAATATTGAAGAACTATCAATGGCGAACACCGAACTTTCTACCTCCAAAGTTTATTATACAATTTCTTCATTTAGGACTGTGATATCTTCTCCAAGACCAATATTCTATGATGACAACCGTATCGTAGGTCATTTCATAAATACTCCTTTAAGACAAGCTATGCAATACCCAGATGAACAACGGAATAGATTCACACGGAATATGTCGTGAGCGAGCGTAACGTAAAAAATATAACATATGTAAACAACATGTAATTATCAATTTAAAGTTTACCAATTTTAACTGTACACAATAGATACAATTGAATAAAAAAAATTCTGATTTATCCGAATTTAGATTTAATTCATTTATCTGTGACATTCATACATTTCATATTTCCTTGCAGGTCCAAAAGTATTGGTAATTTTTATAATTTAATAATTATCAGATAAGCCAGCAAAGGTGTTGGAATAATGAAAAGAATATAAGATAACACATACATACACACACGTACATACACACACACATATATATATTGCAAAATCTTATAGATATGAATAAATATAAACCATTATGACTAATAACGATATCGTCCCAGGAAAAAAATTCTCATGAACATTCTGTTGATAATTGTAATGCCAGCCATTGTGATTCTATTGAAGGTATATCAGAAAAACACGAATAAACTTTCATAGACTTTCCCAAAGTAGCAACGTGTGTTTATTACTTGAAATAATAAAGTACGTCGCGAGAACGCCGATTTATGACAAAAGTTACAGTAAGTTTATAAGTTTGCATAAGCGGAAAAACTCGAGAAAACACAAAAATTTTACAGAAAACTGTTTGCTGTCATTGCAAAATATTATAGTTTTTCCGAGTAAAAACATTCTTTGCCCGGAAGGCTAAAAAACTCCTCATGGACTATGTCGTACGCGAATGTAAAAGCAAAAACGTGTAAGTAATTATCGACATAACACATTTCCAACTTTGCGTTTAAAATCCCGGTGGATAGCATAATCTACCTATAACATCTATCTCTAATGATAGGTGCGAGAAAAAAAAGCGTGCTTATCGTATCTTTATATACGTTTCGCGTTGCTTTATCGCTTATATTTAAGAATTTCATAGAAGCGAATATCCGGAGGAGCCGTACTTTCTCGATCTCCTAATTAAAAAGTGACCATGAAACTTCAAGTTAATAATCAGTTTCCGGTTACTAACATAGCGACATGGTTGACGTAACCAAGATTTAAATGACAAGATCAATGACGATGCAAAGTTCTTTTACGTGCTGAAAATAAACGAGTCGAATTTATATATCGCGACGGAATGTAACAAAAACTCAGACATTAAAGAAAATAGATAGCAAAAAATTCCATACAAATTTAAAAACAATAAAGTGACTAAATATAAGATAGAATTAAGAAGATAAGAAGTAATTGGAAGGAAAGACAACTGACAAAGAGAGACAAGCAATACACGACGAAACAATTCGAGTTGTCAGCTTTTTAATTATTTAAAGAATTCAGTGTTTCGTGACATGATTTCAGAATGAGACTTGTCGTGAACATTTTGCTGATAATTATGATACTGGCGACCACTGTGATCTCACTCCAAACATGTCAACAAAACACGAATAAACCATAGACTATAAAACATTGAAACCGCCTGTAACACTTTTCCGAAGAAAAGTATTTTAATTTTTGGGAACAGAAACGTTCCTTGTTCAGAAAGGCAGAGGAAAGATCGTCGTGGAATATGTCGCGTGCAAGTGTAATGGCAGAAACGTGCAGGTAATTACCGATTTAACTGATTATTTGAAACTTTGATCTTACCAGCAGCAACATAAGTAACCTCGTACATAATCATACCAGAAATTAGCATTAAATAACATATCGAATGTAGATGTAGAATTGCATATGATAAATATGTATGCATGCATATCGCATAAACTGCTACAACTTTGATAATCCAGAACGTTAAGAACAAAATTGCTAAAAGTTATATTATTTCGGCAGGTAAATCTAATTTTCATTACGCTTTCATTTGTGTTATTTATACTGTCATGTTCTCTTTAAACTTTGCTTTCCTGCTTTCAAAAATTAATATCTAAAGGATACAAAATTAATAGCATCTTCTTCCAAAAAGTAATATGCTCTACGCAATGTAACATTGCGTATGTAACATAAATTTTACGTATATATAGCACACATCTACGTTGTTAAGTGAACATAATATATTTACTTTATCGCTATATTTAATTATTTCCATTTCATAAAAATAAATGTTCATCAGCTATTACTTCTGCATTATACGTTACCAGTTATCTCTTATAAATGAGAAATCTTATTTTTCAAATAGTCTCTAGCACATTAAAGTTAACAAGTAAATTGTGCCGACAATCACGTCTTTAAGTAAATGTTACTTCATCGATTATACAAAAATCTCCGTAAAACTTCGTTTACATAACCAGTTTTTCTATAACAAAGAGTTTTACATAGTCCAAGAGAATATAAGTAGCGAGCTCGCAACAGATAAAATGCAGAATTTGTTTACGTGCTAAAATGGAACTGTTTAGTTATGTTATCTCTAGTAGAGAAGAGCAAAAATAAACGAAAAAATTCGAAATAAAATAAATGACAAAAAACTGACAAGAATTTAAAAAATAGTGTGTAGATATACGAAGTAGTTAGGAAAAAGAACAGTCAAGAGAAACGCGCAAGCGATATTTTAATTTCGACCCTGTCTAACCATTTTATCATATAAAAGTATCCAACGTTACGCGATATCGCATGAAAGTGGAGTTTCTCGCGATATTTCTCTTGATAACCGTGATATTGACAGCCACTGTGATTTTACCCAGGGCGTGTTAGGAGAACGCGAATAAACCATTGCCCTCTTATTTTCCCCCAATGGCCCCGCATATCACAGACGCTTCAGCCAAAATCGTTTCTTGTCCAGAAAGTCAGAGGAAAGATTCTCACGGAATATATCGTGTACCAGTAGAGCGGAAAAGGCGTGCAGGTAATTACCGATTTAACATTGGAAATTTCGATAGATGTAATTGCGATAGATGGAGTAAATCCCCATACGTTATCATACTAAAGGGTTACGTTGGGTAATATATCGTAATGTAAATAAAGAATTGCATGAGCAAACATACGCGCACGTTGCGCAAACTGTTACAAACAAGCTGACTTCGATAATCGAGATTATTAAAAATAATCAAATGTTGAAATTTGAATACGCAGCAACAAAATGTAACTTTTTACCACGCTTGCGTCCCTACTGTGTTCGTATCGTTATTTTTGTGCTTTAAACTTTGTTTAAACGCCAGTATTTGAAGAATACAAAACTAGTAGCGCTTCTTTCCGAAAATATATACAATGCGTAAATTCTTTGCATAAGATATATCTCCCATTAAATATGCGCAACTTGCTTTAGCGTATGCGTTTATATTTAAATATTTCGTAGAAGAGAATAGTTACTACCAAAATAGCTGTGAAACTTATACCAGTTCTTTCTTCGCAACGAAAAAGTTCACGTAATCCGAAGGAATATAAATGTCGAGCACGAAACGGGTGAAATGCAGAGTTCGTTTACGTACTGAGGTCAAATTGTCGAATTCGCGAACTAATAGAAAGGAATACGAAAACTAAAAAAAAAAAAATCAAGAAAATTTAACTATAAGAAAAATTAAAGAAAATTTTGGGAAAGTTCAGTATTTCCAAACATTTTAAATAATTACAGGAGACAATAAAAGAAATGCAAACATAAAAATAAAATTGGTCGTAAATACTTTTCGGAAATAATTGCGGTGTTGGTAGTGATTATATTCAGAGCGAAACAGTAAGACATGAATGAAACATTGCCCCCTTGATATCTTCCAAAAATCCGAATTCTCGATTCTGCTCCTCATATCATAGATACCCCACCTAGAAAAGATTATGCGGGAAATTTGAGGAATATATGCCTAAGTAATGGAGAGTGTGAGTTTAAATAGAGAGGGTTAGTTGATTACAGAAATAAGTTGACACATTGCTTATATTTCGGCTATTTTCTAACAAATTATAAAATCAAGCAAGTAAGAAGTGCAAAATCATCTTTGACGTTGAATATAATCATATATAATTATATATAATTATATCTAATTATATCTAATTATATTTAATTATGTATACAAACTTTTTCTTTTCCAAACTCTAAATTTAGCAGAAATAATATATGAATAGCATATGAACAATTATATATAATTATATCCAATTATATATCTAATTATACATCTAATTATACATCTAATTATATTTAATTATATATGCAAACATTTTTCCTCTCCAAACTCTGAATTTAGCGAAAATTGTATATGAATATTTTGGAGGATCGATCTCGAACACCTGCAGTTCTTTGTTACAAATTAACCGGTAATTATCGGGGAAGTTTTATTGCGGTATAAAATATTTCGATTCGCCCTCGCGAGGGAACATTTTAATTGAGAAATTCACTTTCAAGGAGGTATGAAGCCACGCGCGTCTCTTTCCCATCGAACATACACCAAACTATTTTCATATTCACGCGCAAGAAGCTTTCCCGACGAAGTTTAACGATTTCAAACGAACGCACGCGAGAAAGCGAACGAACGAATGAACGAATGAGCGAACAGCCGGTCGTCCAGGCAAATCTTTGGGAAAACTCACGGTAGTTTACGACAGTTTGTTGGCGAGCAACTTCGCTACTAATATCGACAAGGTTGTGTCCGGGCGAGTTGGCAACTTTAGTGTAACTTTCCGTCCGTTCGCCCACACACTTGTTGCCCCCTCGTCCCCCTGCGTTCTCTCCGGAACCCCCTTGTATACGTGAAGAGCCGCGACGGGCTATCATTAGCGCGACATAATGCAGGCATGTGGTTGCATGGTGTGCGCCTTTTGTGTTACCGCTCACTCTTGTCGCACGCGCGTTCAGTTTCGCCGATTCTCCCGAGAGAACATGATCGCTCGTTTCACCGTCACGAAGTAACACGACTCCCTCACTGTGGTTGATATGACTAGTGAATGACCGGCCGCCGGTCAGCGACCACGAATCCTGGGGGATTTCTTGTTCCACTTCTGGACTAACACTGTGTAATATTGAATTAAGTCGCAAATAACTTCCGTTTTTTTTTTCCTCTCTTGAAATTCCTCTTCATGAAATTTGAAATTAATAAGAGAAAGTGTTGTCTAATATATTCGTATCGCTCTCGTTATTAATAAAAACTTGCGTTTTTAGTACTAATAAGCGGCGTGTTATCTTTCTGCGAGTATTCAGAAACATTTATTTGCTACCTTTGTCAAATTATTTATAACTTGATGTAATATTACCGTGTAACTTTTAAAGATAACGATGTAATGTACGTATTGTATGTATTCCTTATTTACAAAAATATTATTTTTATCAGTTAGAAATTATAAGGGTTTAATTTTGTAGAGAGAGAGGACAATCGGTAGTTATTTGCGGTTTAATTTTTCTCTCCTCAGTAATAAATAAATTTGACGCGAACAAAATAAAAAATTTAGTCGATTATATATATATTTAATTTTTATAACAATATACCATCATTTTGTCTTATATTTGAAGGTAAAGAATTTCGCCTATTAGACGAAGAGAGGATCCATAAGACGCTTTCCTCTAGAAAGCGGACTTTCTTAGAAAGAAGGACGTAAGCTTCTCTACTTCTTTATCAACTATAAATATAATGTTTCGCAATTCGCCAGAATAAAATAAAATATAGTAACGAACAAATTCAGAAGATGGGCATTTCAGAAGTTTTTTTTATATGAATAAAATATAAATAGAATAAAGAGTATACGCGAAAGAAGGAAGGATGCATAGTAAGTCTCGTAAAAATTCTGTTTCTTATTTTATATTTACATCAATTTTCACATGTTATGGAAAACTATTCTCCGACCCTTCCTCCTAGGAAATTCATTACAGTTCTCATCTTTTTACTTTCGTATGATTAAACTGTAGGTCATTGTCCGTTCATTGGCTAATAGCCAGGGATCGTAAGATAGCCAGTGCGAAATTTACATTTAAAATGGAAATTGGGTTAAATTAACTTTATCTTATTCATTTCGTGACAGATTCGATTTATAGAAATCTATTTAAACGCAAAATTTCGAGATACTTTTGAGATACTTTATAATTTACAATATCAAATAATATAAATTAATTGTGTTCTCGCAATATCAACTTTGAATTCGCCTCGAAAACTGAGTCGAAACTCAGTCTGGTTAGTCTGGGACAACCTGTAGATCGAGCAATCCCTCGAGGACTTATTACGTTTAAAATATCTGATATCGTCAGATTTTCTTCTTTTATCTTATTTTTCTTTTCGTTCTTTTATAGATTCATTAACGAAAAAGACATCGCTATTATGAAGCGCGCTTGGAAAATGATACCTTTACCATTTCTGCGACGAGCTGTGTATGTGTGTGTGTGTATACGTATGTAAAGCATGAAGGAACGTCTTTGAAGATTATCTGATGTTTAAATTAACGACACCCCACTCCCTATTATAAAAATCCAATATGAATATTTTGCGGCTCTTGATATTCATTTTTTTTCATGTTGCACGATCTTTTTGCTGCATTGCCCAAGTAATGTTCTGATTGGTTGGTTAAACTTAACTCGCCACTTAACCGTAAGAACATCAAACTAATTAATTAATTAAAATCAAGATAATAATGTCGATTTTCAAATGTAAATAATAGAACTACTGAAAAATCCGTGATACTTCATTTTCATCAAATCAAAATGGATTAGTATTAAAAAAATTTACGAGAATTTGTAAGAAGTTTTTATGGAAAATGGACCTTCGTATAATGAAATTAACGGAAAGAAATGTTAATTACCGATGATGTCATGGTTAATTAATTCCTTCGTTACGTAATGTAATAACGTAATTTAAAAACGTCACGAAGGGGGGAAAGTATTCTAACGTTAAATAAATCTGAAAGTTACCAGTTTTTTATCTCAACGTAATTCGTTAATGAAAGAATTTAAGAAGCAAATATGTGATATTATATTTTCAAGCGACATTGTAATTAAGTGAGGATACGTCTTGGCGTTCTAAAAACTTCCCACCTACTTTTATATTTAAGTCTTGAAATTCCTGAAATTTTTCCATGATAGAATTCTTAATATTCTCGATATTTCTGATTTTGAAGGGTTCAAGTACAATCTTGAGACCGAATTATACAATTTCTCGAGCTGCACAAATCGTCCTTAATTCGCGAATGATAATATGAACATTCATAATGTAAGATGCACTTACGCAGCGTTCTATAAGATTCTCATCTATGTTCAATCTCTCTCTATATAAAAAGCACAAAGATTGATAGGTCTGTTATTAAATGACATTTTAATAACAGGATTTCGATAATACTAGGTTCCATCCAGCGTGGATTAATTAGCATATTACATTATGCGGAGATTCCAGATTCAAAATTCGTATTCCATTGAATTTATGTGCAAAAAGGTTAAACATCGACGATTTTCCTTTACGTTTCTACGCATAAACAATAATTACAATATAACGAGAGATGATCCGAATTTTGTAATTATTTATCGCGTAACAATATGAAACACACGATAATCGAACGGTAAAATGCGAACATACGATAGCAGCCTGGGACGATAAAAAAGTCGTTCGCGTTATTATTTTCGAATTATCAACGAACGAACTTGAGCAGGCTGCGCGCTCGATAACGAGAAAATTCGTACTCACTTGAAGAAGTAGGTGTCGTTGACGTATCCGAAGAAGGGTACTGTATAGGTCAGCATCCAGATATTGCCACCCCCGCAGTCGTAATACGGTTTCGACCACCTGCCATCCTCGTATTTCACTGTCAGGATTTCGTCCTCCTCCCTTTCCGTGTGCATGCTTTCATTCAGCGTATAAGTATGGAATCCTGGAACAGAGACAGAGAGAGAAAGACCGTTAAGCGAGTAAAAGTTTATCCCGCCCCGAAATTTAATTAAAGGGACTTTGCTCTAATGACAGTTTAATTAGTATATTTAATTAATTTTTAATTCGATTCCTCGGAACTAATCTTACGTTACGCTAACACTCGATAAAACTCATTCACACACCAACTTCAGGATCACATTGATCAGACACACCTTTTATAGTTTACAAATAACTTAATAATAAACCTTATGCCGCTTGAAACGTTTAATTTTATCTGAACGTCGAGAAGTTTAGAATTCAGCTCGAACTGAACTGTATTTTAATTGTATGTGTTTGTCTTGCGAGAAGCATGATGAACAAAGCTCGAAAATTACTGTCTCTTGCAGCCGGATGTTCCACTCAAGCTGTCGGCCGTCGAACATTGAGAATAACAATGCCTTATAAACTGAACTCTCGCTAAACGACTGACTAACAGGCGCCTGAGTGAGGAGAGCAGCAATAACAAAGATTGATTACGTTTTCCTTTTATTTTCGCACGGCTGAACTGTAAGCCACGGTGTCTCGTCATTGACTGACGACCGATAGCCGTAAAATAACCAATTGAATTTACTTTCAAAATAAAGGCTTAAAAAGGCAAAGGAGAGAACAACTTTCAGAGTTTCAGTGTTGAGCGTAACATTCGAGATTCTTCTGCGTAATATCTTTCTATTAAATTGTCTCCGCTGTGTGAAAGTTTGATGCGAATTCGTAAGAACGTCATTTCTGGCGAGGAATTCCACGCAATTTTGTTAAACTAAATTAATAACGTGCAATTTTGTGAAATACAGAAACTGACGGAATCGATTATTGTAATTAATCGTAATCCTCGCGCGATTGTTTGTATCTCCGGTGAAACTTTTTCTCCGCTAGGTAATCCTCGGACCGAAGTTCCGAGCTATCTCCGTTCGATGTACGAATCAACCCCCCCCCCCCTCGAAACCTCCAATTGTTCTTTTCTTCTTATTTTCACGATTCCTCACCGAGGCTACGCTTCTCCCGAGATTAATCTCCGAGAATGTAGAAATTCAAGCGTCAAAGGACACCTGGAGATTCCGGGAATCCGTTGTGTAAGATCCCAAGAGAGGAGTTCCGACGATTCAAGGATCCAACAATAAGAGTCGAAAGTTTGAAACACGTAACTTCTTTCGGCTGCGATACGCGCGCGTGCACACACACACACACACACATACACAGTAAAGGGAGAGAGAGAGAGAGAGAGAGAAAGAGAGAGAAAGTATTAGGGATTTGTATAAATATACAAGGCGACGAAAGGTGCCGCGCGTGGGATCGTCTTCGTATGCCGGGCAGATAAAGAAAACGAGCCTCGTTTCGTATCCGTTTTCCCTCGACTTGCTCTGCCATGTATGTGTACATCCTTTTCCCCGGCCGGCCGGCCGGCCGGCCGTCTGGTCCCCATGAGAAAATAGCTGAGCTTTATCGGGCATGATCCGCTGAATGTGAGAACCGTTATTTGCCCAATTTTCCTTGTATCGGGCGGATAATCGATGTCGTTTGCAACATCGCTTGTGTAAACGCACGAGTCGCGCGCTTTTAACCTTGTTTGGCCTCATGGTCATAAATAACGTCTCTTTCCAAGATAGTAACACCTCGCATTTAAATTCCCAAATGTGCTATGAAGCATTTCAGATTACATCGAGAGCAACGGAACCTGCTATCACGGCGTGAACGGTAATAAAATTATACAGCCTCGTAAATATTCGTCCGAACGATTCACGTATATTTCAACCGGCTGAAAGAGCGCCTGTCACATAAGTTGATTATGACAAATTTTTACGTTCCTGTATGTAATTACGTCTCTGTATAAATTGTAATTATATGTAAATTATAAATCGAGGATTGCGCAATCAGTTATTAATTGTAACAATTGATTTCATTCAATTTTTATTTCTACCCTTGACAAGTTTATCTTAATTATCTCGCGTCAAATGACGCTTTCACGATTGCGTCACGTTGTGATGATGAAAAAAATTTGGAGAAGAGGAAGGGAGAGAATATTATCTGGAAATATGAAGAGCAAAAAGGATATCTTTATCGTATAGCTTTCCCTGCATATTCATTTTGTCCAACTCGACAAATTATTTATATTCGGAGTAAAGATACCAGCATGTTATGACCCGCATGCGCTCCAAATGACCAAAATAAGATAAAGATATACAACCCGCGCATATGTCACGGTTAAAATAACATAAAGATATCACACAAAATATTAGACTAAGAATGTAAAACGCGCAAAACGTCATATCTCGTATATTATTTATTTCGTCCAATTTGTGATCGTAATGGGCAAATAATTGGGTGACGGTAAGAAAAGTACGCGTTTTATGGAAAAGTTACAAACGGGTACCCTTAATTAAAGCAGTCTCATCGAAAAAACGCGCTTGCTCTCAGCGGCGGTGAGAAATCGGGAAAATGCCTGATACGACGCCAAGTCGTAACGCGTGCTCTCTTTTTTGTTCTCCCATTTCGCCCCTTACTCCTCATTTCTTACCCTCGTTCCCCTACCGCTGCGGGTCCGAAATCCCGTTCTGATTTATCCGCCAGTAATTTCTCTTTTAACATAGATCCTCCCGGAGCCTGTTTAGGAAATCTGCATGTTTATTAACCGCCGTCGCGGCGGTGGCGGTTGGAGTTTCTTTTCTCATACTCTCAAATCCCCTTCCCTTCGGATTTTTAATTTATAAAACGTTCCACAACGACAGAGAATTTTAAGCTTCACTTAAAACAAATTGATTCCGAGTTCGTTCAAAACGTGAAAATATTTCCCAACCACGCTAAGAAATATCTTTGTACATAATAAGAAATTTTGCGTTAAAAACGATCCACTAAAATTTTGTGTTACTTTAACGTGGGGAATGTGTTAAAAATACACAAAACATAATGTTAAATTATAGAAGCTTACGTCCTTCTTTCTAAGAGAGTCCGCTTTCTAGAGGAAAAGCATCTTATGGATCTTCTCTTCGTCCAATACGCGAAATTCTTTACCTTCAAATATACTATAATAAATATATAGATAAAATTATGATATTGTTATAAAAATCAAATTTATATATATACTTGTATAATTAAATTTTTAATTTTGCACACGTCGAATTTATCTATTACACACATTTCCCATGTTAAAGTAACACAAATTTCAGAGCACTGTTTTTAACACAAAATTTTTTACTATGTAGACGAATTCTTCTTTGTTTGGTTTCGATATATTATAAGATGCATTAATGATATAAAGAAATTTCGCAAATTAAACGTTACCTTAATTAAATTCGCGACGTGTAATCTCGAAAGAGTTAGATAAGCGTACTCTCATAAAAACATTTCCGAAGACTCGGTTTTGCGATCACTGAAACAGTTCAAAGAAGATCGAACGAAGTCGTAGAGCAAAAGAGCGAAGACACCAAAAGATTTACTGACACAGAAAAATATTCAATTTGATTTCAGGTCAGCTCCGATGCCATTAAAGTTCGCAGAGACGGTGAAAGATGGGAAAACGTAGAGGGGAAGAAGACCATTCTAAAAGAGCATCTAGCGGAATTAAATAAATAAAATTCGCTTACGGCATGTATGTTACGCTATATCGAATCACTTTATTTCCTTCGTGTTTCCTTGCGATATTTGTGATTTTTTTCCGTAATTTTTCGTAGTTTCATAAGATATATACGCGAGGGAGATATGTGCCATATAACATTTCTTTTAATATATCTTTTTGCAAAAAATAGCCAATGTGAAACGGATTTACCAGTCTTGACATATTTTGTTATCTCAAATCTCTTAAGCTCCTCGACACCTGACTACTTAGATTCTTGAATTTTGAGGTGGTTACGTGCAAAATTATTTAACACATGTTTAAAAAATTTTTTTTAAACGTATTTGCAAAATTTAAATCTTTTTAATTTGACATTCATAAAATGCTTTCTGCGAATTTGCATCATTATTATGCTTTATTTTGATAATTTCATTTTTAATATTGTCAAATTTTTCAACTCTCGTATATATTATGCTCTTAATGGCTTTAATGTGAATATAATGAAATAAATAAAATAACATTTTATTCCTCTCCGTCCGAATTATATCGCAACGCATGACAAAAATTTTCCTTCGCTTCCTTCGTTAGTTTCCTTCGTTAAGAAAAGCAATTCTTAAGTTTCTTCAATAATGGTGCTACAGATGGAAGTACAGTCTTTAAGTATCTTATAACCTAGACGTTTATTTCGCTCGAGCCATCTGTCATGGTCGTAGTAATCATAATTCGCTATCGACTTGGAGAAAACGACGCCGATATTTTACTCACGGACTGAAACTTGAGAAACGTGTTAGTTGAGCATATTCGTGCCTCACTTCCTTACCGAAGGTTTGCTCTTTATCATTGAAACTTTTTTTATATTTTATATATTTTGGATAACAGTGTTTTCAATTTCAGTGTTAAAAATGTGTTTGCTACACGTGCCGCTATTATTGCTTATATCGATCGCTGCCTTTCATTAACGTGCAGTACATTGCTGCACTCTTTTCCAAATTTGCTCTTTATTTCATACGCACGATAACGCACGATATTTATATGTAAAATTTTACGTTATAAAATGTCAAACGGGGGCATATATAATACTCGCGAAATATGAGCAGTAACGTTCCGTCATATGCAAAAAGGCAAATATCGGTAAAACACGGCAAGCAATATCGAGTATACACAAATTAATTCGACTCTCCGATGCTAGCTTTATCAATGATGTGCATCTCATTCAAAATATTTGGCAATAATGGTGTTCAGCGCAATTTCGGGAATTCTCTCGCTCTAATTGGTGGCGATTAAACCTGGGGACACGCACATACACACACACACACACACATTCTCATTGGACTATAAAAAAGTCTACAGAGGAGGTCTTTAAGGGCCCGAGCCCTCGTTCTTCGTTCGAACGTTCGTTGCTCATCCAAGCATCGTCC